CCCAGCCAGCCATGCTGGCTGGGGAATTCTAGGAGTTGAAGTCCACGCGTCTTAAAGTCTCCGAGGTTGAGAAACACTGCTTTAGAGAAAAGATGTTAGCAAAGAAGTCAGAATCTGCAGGTAGATTTGTGCTCCACAGTTCAAATGTGGTGCTTCTCCCTCATGTTTTCCTGAATTAACTGACACTTGGCTGATCTGAAAGACCTGGGAGGCCCCTGAACAATCTCTTCCCCGTGTTTCTCATTGCAACCCTTCCAGACCCCAGAAGTTTCACCATCCCTAGGCTGGCTCTTTTTCAGAATTGCACCTGTCCTGTTTAGGATGCGGTGATCCTTTCTCCCTTCCTCGATGCCCAGTCCTTGCAGCTGAACAGCCCAGGGCAGAGATTTATTTGGTGACCTTCCCTGGACCCCGTTGTTTATTGTCTTGTGGGTAGCAAGTAGGGCTGGAAGTCAGACTCAGAAAAGTTTAAATCATTTGCTGTCAACCGAGGCTGAAGCCCTTCCCGGCCCCTTGTGAACACCAGGCAGCTGGTTAGCATCTCTGGCTCCTGTTTGTCCTTGAAATAAAGCTCTATTTTTGTCTTATTGGGTGTGATGTCCCTGAATGACCTGGAGGAAAGGGGAGGGGTGGGAAGATGACGCATCTCCGGCCTCTGCAAAAGTCTGAAGGCGGGGAGCAGCTTGACAGCTGAGAGAAGCTGTTCCCAGAAAACGAAATGGCTTTCCGGGGAAGGATAATTATTAATGGCTGGGAGGGGTTGGTTTCTGCATGGCGCAGGCGAGCGCCTTGTTTTGCAATCCTTGCCAAGAGCTGCTGGTCGCTGTAGCAACTGCTGCCCAGCGTTTCCAGCAGCCTGGAAGCTTTTGGAAGCAAGCTGGGTAATTCTGCATGTGATCCAGCGCGTGGAAATGAAAAGCCCTTAAAGCAGATCTCTAACGAACAGGAGGGTTGCAAAACAAAAAGAAGAAACAGAAGTAAAAGCATCCTTGGGCAGTCAGTTCAAGGCTGAGCAATCCAGGCCCTCTGAAGGAAGATGTTGTTGCCTTTGTGTGCAACTAGAGCAGTGTTCTTCCTTCCACCCCACCACTTTTTCATATGTTGGCATGGAACCTTTAACTCTACCTACACTCCCATCTCAGACACGCCGGATGTGTT